TTCTTGCAAGATAAGTTCTACAGAAAAAAAGGCTTGCAGAGATTCTGGGTAAAAAAAATCCTGCAAGCCATATATATAGGGAGTTTTCTTTAGAAAACCGTTTTTTAAGGAAATAATTTTCGACTTCTTAATTGTACACTTAGAACGATTTAGGCTATAAATATAGCCAAATTACAATTCTAAAATAATAGATTCCACATCATCCAATCTGCCAGCACCACAGGCTTCCCCTTTTGTTACGTTTATGTGCTAGTAAACATATTCTACCGATTTCAGTATACGCCAACTTTGTTTAATAGTTGGAAAAACGTTGCTCTTCTCAAATTTAAAGGATTTAGTATAAAGAAAACCATTGCGTGGGTTTTCTGGACCAACAAACTAATGGTTTAGTTATTTCGTCATTTGGGTACAATTGGGAGTTAACGTTATAAATGATCAAAATTCTGAATTTTGAGCTTAACTTTATTTCTTATTTTAAATTCTATGTGATTTATTGAAAATGAAGTTCCATTATAGAAGTCTTTTATCAATCCTCAAAAGTCTAATGGATCGCTCTTAAAGGAGCCGTCCCAGGGTGATGCTTTGCGCGCTTATGTTATTGTTTACATACGACATTTGTCCAACGTGTAAAACGAATAATAGTACCTTTAATATTTTTTAAAAAATTCTTACTAGAAATTGCCTGTTTATGGCCAAAACTACACGCTGTGAATGCATTTGGGTCGTCGGTAGCTAATTAGGTGATGAATTAGACGTTTCTTAGAATATTCGAGGCATGAAACGGACGCCGAAGATGAAGTAGCGACCGATCAAGCTCGCCAAAGGAGTAGAAGTGCAATATTAGTTAACTGTATCATTAATGAGTATTCGTCTTCTCTTTGGTTGTAGAAATAACGGCTGATTTGTATTTTTATCGTGGCTTCAGTATAGTTTTGATCTTGCAAAAATTCGTGTAGCAGAACAAAAACACCGCCGACTCGCAGGCTGTCGGCGAAGCAACAGTTCCACAAACTCACTATTATTCAACTGTAAAAGACCCATTCTGTCCTTTGTTTCCTTCCAAGGTTCGTATGTCGTGGCCTTCTGAACGTATTATCCCTCAGTTATTTCTTCTTTCCGGCGTGGACGACCGCGAGAAGATTTCCGTTACGTTGATTTGGAGCCATATCGGCAAATTCAAAATAAGACGTTTAAAAAAGACTCAATATTCGAAATAATTCAAGAAAATGAATATATGTTACATAAAGAACTAATATATATCGAATTTATCAGGAAAAACCTAGAGATGTTTCAGATTTTAGACGGAT